GTTGAAAGATGAGATTTGCAGCATTTATTAGAAAGCAAAGTCAAAGGCTTTGTATCGAAATGAACTTTTTGAATTCAGAAGTGCCTACTGACATGGAGAGCCCATCGTATACGTCTGAGCCTAATTCGGTGGAAGCCAGCATTCTTCTTGAAGGATATGTGGGCATAGAAGCAAAGGCAAGATTTCTTGTTCTTTTTTCTTGACGATCGATTTTTATTTTTTGCCTGTGAATATACAGCTCTCCGAATGGTTTCTTTTTGGTCATTTCTAGTTTATCTTTGGTGCAAAAGTTGAAACATACCGAAACATGTTGCTCGATCGAGGCGATCCCCCCAAAAATATCAAAAAATCATTTATTATATTATTTTTAGGAACCGAATTTGGCAGCTCGACCTGAGAAGCCAGTGCTGAGGAAGCCTGGTCAACCTCCACGGCTTCAGGCTCGCAAAAAGCTTATGAGCGGTTCACGAAGTGATTCGGGATTGGCAAGGTTAGCTGACTGGAGTATTGTCATTTACGGGGTGGTCACATTTGGATACTTTTATTTCGGATGCCCTTTGATGACAGTTCGTTAAAAATTTTAAAAAACCAGTGTGTGTCAAAGGGATCTGACGTGCAGTGTAGTCTCAGTCTCACACAGTCAGGCGCTGGCTGTTCTTTCCAATGTCTGAATCGATTATTTCAGAGGTGACTTACCAACGCACTTAACTGATGACAGCGATAGTGATAACCCGATTGAATATAGAGATGATGACAACCATTACCGGAGCGCTCCCAGTACGTCACGGTTTGATGAAGACGAGGAGGAGGATGTTCCCATAGGTGAATTTAATTAATTGATGAAGTCGTAAATTTTTTTGGCTGTTGTTTGCACCAATTGCTATGCGGGTAAAATTCGAACAATCAGAAACCGACCCTTTAATAGCAAGAAGACCAGCGATGATGGGATGGTTATGCCTCAAAAGTACAGTACACGCAAGCGTTTTGCCGAGCCGAGCCACGCCCATAGTGGGCGTGGCGTGCATCGCACTGAGCAGCATGTGCTTGACAACATGTGAATAGAACGCAGTGTATCATCAATTCAGTAAAGTTTTGTAACTATAGCAGATAAAAAATGATCAAGATAAAGAGTGAAGAT